GAATTTTAGATATATATATATATATATATATATATATGTAATTACACATACTTGCAAACATACATCCACACACTGAATTGATCAGCTATTGAAATTTAGCATTTTTAATTTCTGCACCCTTAAGAAGATGTTAAGAGAGACACTAAAAATTAATCCCACTAATTCAAGACTATCTGGAGTCATGAGCAACTTAGTGACACTTCATTCTTTATAACCAGACATGAAATATTTAAATGTATCGATGGCTGGGAATATATATTTCTATGACGATTAAGAATTTTTTTCCTACAACTTTCACAGAGGAGAAATTGATATGATGTTGGAGCATTCTACAAACCAAATGTGTACATATTATCTGGTGTAAATAGGAGATTTTTTGTCTAATACCTAGATTATGGTAACTGTGAATTTACCAGCATTTTAGCCATATTATTTAAAGAATATTATGCTTAATTTTCTTATATACTTGGGTCTCATTGAAACACTGTAAGCACAGTCACTTAAAGCCATTTAACTTGTTACACAGGGAATGCACACAGCAAACTTTCACTGTACGGAACATTAAATTCTCCATTAAGTGGCACAGTTAAATTTGATATCCTGCAAAGGCCATTTTTAAAATTCATACTCTCTTTTTATCATGCGACTTAAGTCTTGTTGCACCTAGAAGCAAAGGGAGTTGTGTATTTTTTGATATATTTTCTTGGGAGGAAAGAATAAAATGCATAGGGTTAAATAACACACCAATGCTCACAAGTGACTAGATAGCGTTAATTAGACCCTTTCAGCAAGCTCAGCAATAGACCAGAACTGATCAGAAACTGTCACATAGTGCAGGGAATCTGTCTCACCAGGATGTTTTGTGACATAAAAAATTATTTTGTACTTTTGCTAATGATTTTCCTATTTGCCTTTCTTTGGATCTCTCTTTTGCTTTTTTTTTTTTTTCCCCTTCTCTCTCTCTCTGTCATTTTTTTTTTTTTTAAGAATAACACACCGGGCTAGACTGAAATCCATCAGGACTCCAGTCTGACACCTCTGCCTTCAGCTTCACAGAGACAGTCAAATGCACCAAGAGCTGACACCAGGGTCAGTCCCACGCAGCTGTGGGAGTCGGTGTCGCTGCTGCTGCAGAGGACAGCTGAAGGAGACAGAGAGTGGTTAGATCATAAGAAACAAATCCTTGCCGATGAGGCAAAATCCTCTGATGAGCATCACTTTTATCATGGTGTCAATCAGGGATAAACACTTACAGAGCAGCTAGGCTACAATGGGTTATTTGGGATTTTTGAGGTTTATTCTGAGGTTTATAAAATTGATAAAATCACAAGCTCCTGTAATAACCGAGCTTATTATGCCTCATTTCTTCATTTTATGGGTAGCTTAGGGTCTTTTTAAAATTTGTCTCAAAACAGCAAGGTTCCTCTCTAAGGTAGGAGTGAATGTAATTATGTCCTTTGGCAGCAGTTCACAGCTTCTGTTGAGAATCACAGCCCAGAATGTGTTTTTTTCTCTAAGAATGTCTGGTCTTTTTGCATGGTGAGAAGAAGCTAAATACATATTTCAACACAAAAGATCACCATGGTCTTTATGTTTCATCCATTTTGGGGGGGGGCTGTACACACCAATTACATTCCATTTGGGGAAAAATTTTGTTTCATTTTCTGGACTATTCTGTTGTGTTGCTCTGTGGAGCCAGAACTTATCTTTGTTTATTTTATGAAGTACTCTTAGTTACATATCTATCCAGTGCTCTCACAGCAAACCTAACTATTTGTGTTTTCCATGGCATAATTTCTTTTGCAAAATTTCTCTGTTAATTTTTAGAGAAGGAAGAAATTGAGGTCTTGAGGAGATAGAAATGATAAGGTAATATTAGGAAATGTTATACAATCTTAGGAACTTTTCTTCTATATAGAATGGTTTTCACAGGCTGCTAAACCTCAGCTTCAAGAGATTAGCTGGGACAAAGTAAAGAGCAATAGGATCTTGTTTTCAGTGTCACCCAGGCTACCCACCTGACCATAGAAACCTTTTGCAGCCCTAAAATACATGGGTCAGGACAACAAAGAACAGAGAAGGAAGAAAGGAAAAGCTAAGAGGAAACCATATCACCTAACCTTAGACACCTACAAGTTAGATGTCTGGATCTGAACTCCTCATCCTGGGTTCCCATTGTTCTCAGTTGAAAGGCATAGGCAATATATTGTGACCACTCTCAGGCACCATGCCAACAAGATGGGTTGCTCTGGATGTCCCTGCTCCTCTCCTTCCATAACAGAGAAATCCAGGGCAATGGCTTCAGCTCAGGTATTTGCCTTTGTCACACCTGGGCTGACGTTTCCCATCCAACTTCAGTATGAACAAAGCTTAGTCAATACTCTTGATATGCCTGTTTATTGTCTTTGTCATGATGTAAATCAGTGTAGGCTTCACACTATTGCTCTCCAGATCAAAATGTTGGATGGGTGCAGTCCCCTCAACATTGCTTGTTTTGATTTGGGTCTCAGTTTCAAGCTGTGGGCTACCTGCTAGGCTGAGCCTGAGCCACAGATCTCTGGAGCACCGTGCAGGGGGAGATTTCTCATCAGGTACCTTCTCTCAGGTACTACAGGCTCAGCTTTATTTCTACTGTAAAATCAGCGTTATACCTGCAATGCAAAGTCCAACATGCCTCCTTCACTGGTTCTCCCTGCCTACATTTGCCACAGTGAACAGTCTCCTTGTCTTGGATACACTGGACTACAGAGAAAACTGCTGACCACAGTCCACCAATGATCCCTGCAGAGAACTATTTCCTTGGATTCATGAACTTTACTGCAACATGGACACAGAAGACCAAGACAGTGGACTTGCCTTAAATCCCAAAGACCTCTTCTAGATGACAGCTGGATCTCTTCATGCATGCGTGGCACACCAGTCCAGCCACTTGGCCAGGGACTTTGTGGCATAGAAAAATGGGTCTAGGGAACCCGAACTGGCCTACTGTGCTAGAGTGTCTTCATCTGTACAGCGGTGTAATGGAGGTCACAGGAGGAGCTCATTCCTGAGTTTCTGAGAATGCAGAAACAGACATTTAGAGGAACACAAAGCACTGTTGATACTATTACAAAGGACCAGCATTATTATGATAAGAGTTCTGCCTCCTTATATTCCCTGTTGATTTAAGGTTGCCGTATACATATTCCATTACTTCAGTTGTGCAGGACAGTTCGTGACACTGCCTTTGGTTCTGCTACATTCTACTGGTGGTGGCTGCAGTTTGGGGCTGGGGGGGGTGAAGTCCTCCTTGCCCATAAGATCCTCATCCCCTTGAAATGCTATGTGACTTATCAACAGCAGGGTATGGATGTTATGGACTAAGGGTCACTCTTGGAACACACATATCCAGATTCCGATGTTCTGCACACTGGGGAGTGGTCCGGCAGCCTCATGTCCTTCAGTGATACTGGAGAGGTGCACCAAGGGATAGTCCCTCAGCCTGGGAGGGATCCAGCCCTGGCCTGGGTTCACACAGGGGCACAGAGCGAGGCTGCATGGAGTTGAGCTCCTTGCAGACGTGCAGGTCTCTTCCAGGTCCTGCTTTGAGACCTCCAACAACAGAATATATTTTGATACTGTTAAGGAGGCCCTAGGTCCACCTATGTTCCCTGCTTATGTCCTTTGACTTTCCAAAGGACACACAAAACTGGAGAGTATATTTTTAGGTTTATGTAGAGTTGAGTCCCATACATCATATTTCCATCAAGTTTCTCCCTCAGTTTCTCACCCTCGTATTAGCAAATGCTGCTTTTAGGAAGAATCAAGCCTGGGAACAGTGAAGGAAACAAAATGAAAGAAATTTCCTTGCTGTATGTGATTTAGTGCTGTATAAATGTAGACACACTGCAAGTTCCACTGTAAATAACACTCAGTGTCGTGCATTTAATGAAATGTTTCATTTAGATGTTCTGTCGGCTCTGTATGTGAAATAGCCAATTCCAGTCCCTTGGTTCCTTTTCTCCATTTGAAACCTTTCTTCTTTTATTTTTTTTTTAAATTTGATCTGTGTCTGGTTGTCACTGGAAATTGCATCTGTTCCAATGGACTTTGTTTTTGTTCTCTCTGTCACATTAAAAAGCTGGAAGAAAAAGAATTACTTTTGCAGTGTTTGTGTTTAATGGGCATTTTGAGTCCTTTTACAAGGACTGTTGTGGGTGACTTTGTACTCTGACAATGTGGGGATTTCCTCTGATGTTTGCTGTGTGTATGTCCTTGCTCTCTCAAACAATTCCACCTCAATTAA